AAAAAAAAAAAAAAAAAAAAAGAGAGTATCACTTACATCCTTGATCTAGCTACATCTGAAAAGCCCCACCTGTGAGCACATAAGGCTTTGGGGCAACATCTGGATGTAAGTCATAACAGGCTCTCACTGCTTCCTGGCTGCCACGGAGTGAACAGCTATTTTCTTCCATGCTTTTTCACCATACCATTTCTGCCTTGGAGCCAGCTGACCATGGTCTGTGCCCTCTGATACCGTGAGCCAAAATAAACCTTTTCTTTTTTAAGTTGTGTATGTCAGATACCTGGTCCAGTGAAGGAAAAGTGACAAGCCAAGATTCTAAAAGTAGGTTAATGCATGTGGGAAATACAAAACTATAAGATACAGTGTGGCACATGCCTATAATCCTAGAGCTTGGGATGCTGAGGTAGGAGGATTGCCATGAGTTCAAGACCATCGTGGGCTACACAGTGAGTTGAAAATCAGCCTGGACTATACAGGTGGACCCTGTCTCAAAAAAAAAATTGGGGCAGGGGATTTGGCTCAGTTGTTCTGCTGCCTCCTCGCAAGTGCAAGGTCCCAAATTGGATCCCTGGTACCACAAAAAAGAACAGTTGTACAGTAAGGCATAGCTTGAAATTTCTATTTTAATAAATAGCATGTAATTTAAAATAGTTTTGGGCTGCATTCCCTCAGCTCTTCTGGGAATGTTGGGTTTATTTCCTGCAGCTGAAAAATTTGAGAAGCACTGAATTAAAGGTTATAGTCTACAAAGTAAGTGAACAAATTAATAGATTTTTTTTAAATGAAAAAGAATTAACTGAATCTTAAAGTAGTAATTCTATAATCAAATGTTCTTAGATCTACTAGAAAAAATTAAAAGTTTTCTATGAAATATGTGCACCAAAAAGGGCACACAACAAAGGAACAATGAGGTACTTTAAAAATGTTTTGAAGTTTTGGGTTAAATTCCCATAATAGGGATACACATTTTTTTTTTGGTACCAGGGATCAAACTTGGGACCTTGCACTTGCAAGGAAAGCGGAGGCACCACTGAGCTAAATCCCCAGCTCAGGTATATACATTTTATTAAGCTAATTATATTCTGGTACTTTCATAAAAATAAGCCTCTTTCTTTTTTTCTTTGAGACAAATTCTTACTATGTAGTTTGGGATGGCCTTGAACTCATGGCTTCTGCTCCAGTGCTGGAATTATAGGTGTGTGCTGCCACACCTGGCCAAGACTCTTTCAAAGTAAGGGAAAGGAATACATTTATTTACTGAAAATTTAATCTGATTTAATGGGGAAACACCTTGGAATGTAGATAAGAACATTTGTTTTTCCTTTTGTGGAGACTTAAAAAATACACATAAGAATTGAAGTTTTGAATTAAAACATTTTACTCAAGATGTAGGCTTACCTGTATTCCAGCATGGCTACAAAGGTAAAAATCAAACTCATATGGATGCGTAATGTCCGTATCAACTGTTGTTCCAGCTGGGATATTGCCACTTCTTCCAACCTAGATTTTTTTTTTGGTCAAAGTTTAAACAAGACAAAGGTTAAAAAAAAAAAAAAAGCATCTGAAAGCACTTTAAAAAAATGTATAAATAAGTAGGCTTATTCCATGTTTCATTACTTTCAGCTTGAAATAGTAAGAGCAATTTTCATAGGTCCTTGTTCCTTTTTTTCCTCCCTTTTTGCAGAGCTTAGACTTGAACCCAGGGCTGCATGCACACTAAGCTTATCTTTTATCACTTAATTTTATCCCCAGCCCCTAGGTTCCTATTCCTATACTGCTGAAGGTAAATGCTGATAAACAAGAATTATTAGTCTCTGCTACTACTTAACTGGTAGCTGATTCCAACATGAATTAAAACATTTTTTTCTTTTTGGAAATAAGGTATGTAGTTCAGGCTGGCCTTGAACTCTTTATGTACTTCAACCTGGACTCGACCTTGTTGCAATCCCGGTCTCAGCCACCAAGTGCTGGGATCACAGGTGTGCACCACCACACTCGGCATTAAATATCTTTAAAAAATTAACTGTAAGTGCTCCAAATTATGGTATCTGTACATAGAAGGTACTCTTGAAATTATAATCTATGGAAACTAACATTTTCCTTAGATAACACTATATATTTAGAGATATCAACAATAGTCACCATTTGCGAACCATTTTATTGGTCAGGCACTTTAAATTCATTATTTCTAAATCCTGATAACAATCCTACAAGTTAGGTGTTATCATTTGGGGTGCCTAAGGTTTAGGAATGCAAAATTTGCCCAACAACACACAATAAAGAGCATAACTATCATTAAAATAAGAAATGACTATCAGTTTCAGTATCTTATAAGAAACTAGACACCATGATTTTTTGAGTAGCTATGACATGACTGAAATACATGATAATAAAAAGCTCCACAATTCAAAATTTTTATTATACCTATCTCCACCCTCTTTATCCCCAAAATACCTAAAAGCATTAACTATAAATCTAGTTTTACACTTAGAAAATCAGCAACTATTTTACTGACTCAGGCATTATTTCTGCCATGTAAGGGACTGCTATCAGGAAGCAGCTTGAATTACTGGCATATGGAACAACCAGTTAGCTTTAATCAAGTACATAAAGAAAATAGTTTAAAAAATAGATCCTAATCTTCTTAATTATGCCTTTTTAAAATTTTCAGTACCGGGGATTGAACGTAAGGTCTCTGCACTGAGCTGTACTACCTGCCCTTTGTATCACTTTACTTTGAGAAGAGGGTCTTATTAAATTGCTAAGCTGCCCAGGCTGGGCTCAAATTTTTGATTCACCTGCCTCAGCCTCCCAAAATGCTGAGATTATACATGTGCATCACCATGTTCAGCTTTCCTAGGCTTCAAAAACACTTACCACTAATAAAATAGCAGCATATATAAAAAGGCATACTCTAAAATGCCTGGAAAAAAATACCTGAGTTGTATCACTACTCCAGCAATTTCTTTTCTTCTTCTTCTTCTTCTTCTTTTTTTTTTTTTTTTTTTTTTTTTTTTGGCATGGGGGATCGAATTCTGGACCTTGCACTTAACAGGAAGGTATGGAACCACTGAGCTAAATCCCGGGCCCCAGCAATTCTAATTGTATGATTTGGGTCACTGTATTTTACTTCTTTGTAACCCTGTTTCCTCAACTGTAATTATCTCCCATCTATCTGTCTTATTATTTTCAGTACTGAGATTGAATACAAAGTCTTTCAGTTCTTTTTAAAATTTTGAACAGGATCTTGATAAGTCGTCAAGTTTCTCAGTGCTCAAACTTGATTCTTTGATTTTAGCTTCCCAAAGTGCTGGGATCACAGGTGTGCACTACCACACGGGCTAATTTTAGTAGTATTATTTAGAGCAAGGGTGAAACGAAAAGCAAATAAATGAGTGAGTATTCATAATCATTCAATCTAAGTTATAGATCTAGAATTAGGTTATTAGATACAGAAGTGTAATTTGGGATCAAAGACCTTTAACAAGCTGAAGGCCATAATAAAATGATTACTACTGCTATTAGAGAAGTGATACAACACAATGGTTAAGAGCATTCTGGAGCCAAACTGCCTCAATTTATTTTTGCACTATTACTGCGGATTACCAGCTTTGTAATTTTAGGAAGTTATTTAATCTCTAGGTACCATAGTTTCATTATGTGCAAAATGGGAATAATGAAAACAATAATAAGTGTCTAATAGTGTTTGTGAGGATTAAGTCAGTTAAGTTTAGTGGAAGAGTGCTTGCTGGGCCAGCACATGCAAGGCCCTGGGTTTAATCTTCGCACTAGAAGAAACAAAAAGTTCAGTACAGTGGTAGTTATTGCTATTATTTCTTCCCTAGTATTACCACCATTACTTCCACATTACAGCTAACTAATTTCTTTTTCTTTTTCTTTTGGTACTGGAGATTGAACTTGGGACCGTGTGCTTGCGAGGCAGGTGGTGGCACCACTGAGCTAAATCCCAGGCCCAACTATCTAATTTCTACTGAGCACTCAGTATGTGCCACATGCTATTCTAAGTGTTATTACATTTAAAACTCTCAAAAACTTTCAAGATAAATGTTAATATTATCCAACTTTATGGAGGAAATAAGCATAAAGATGATAATGTGCTTGTCAAAGTTACATATACATACTCAACTTCATTTGTGTGTGTGTGTGAGAGAGAGAGAGAGAAAGAGAGAGAGAGAGAGAGAGAGAGGTATTAGGGATTGAATCCAAGGCCTCTGCATTGAGCTACAGCTCCAAACATTTTACAATTTGAGATAGGGTCTTACTAAGTTGCTCAGGCTGGACTGTAAATTGTCAAAATTGTGATCGTTCTCCCTCAGCCTCCCAGGGTGCTGGGATCACAGGGGCATTCATTTCCACTAAATTCCTTTCCCAAGGGTATGACGACACTCCATACCTCAGATATGTCTTGCTCCAAGGTTTACAGGATGGGGACAGAGATCAAGGTACTGGAAGTGAAAGCAAGACTGCCACAGGCATACACTGCACCCAGTACAGACACATTTCTCTAGGCATGTACACTTCCCTTCCTAATTATAAAAATACATATTTGTGCTATAAAATATAAAAAATATTCTATTAATTTTAAAGGAAACATTGTTTGAACTTTAGCTAATATTGTCTCTAATTTTTAAAAAACCCTAATTTTTACAACATATTTTATTTTTTAATTGAGTTTATTGGTACATTTTAGGTATACAGTACAATTAAATTCATTTTTGGGATCTTGTACCTTTACATGACAGGTCTTGTTTCTCATTTTTTCCCCTTGTACAATGTATTTTTTAAAAAAGCAGGCAGTGGGGCCGGGGATCTAGCTCAGTGGTTCCACCGCCCGCCTTGCAAGCACAAGAACCCAAGTTCGATCCCCAGTACCAGAAAAAAAAAAAAAAAAAAAAAAAAAAAAAGACACAGGCAGGGACAGAGCTTAGTGGTAGAGCACTTACCTAGCCCTGGATTTGATCCCTAGCTCCACAAAAAGAGGGAAAGAGGAGAAAAAAATGTACTTCTTTTCCTATTTAAAGTAGATATTTATATAAAGATCTATTTTTAAACTCTGAGTTCTCACAACAAATAGAAAATAAAATAGTTCTTCAAATTTGGAGTGTTACCAAAAATTTTAGAAAGTTAAATAATAGTAATATCTATTTTCTTTTTGGTACTGGGGACTGAACTTGGGACCTTGTGCTTGCAAGGCAGGTGGTAGAACATATTTATTTTGATACCATTTTTTTTTTTTTTTTTTTTTAAAGTTAAGTTCTTACTATGTATTCCAGGCTGGTCTTGAACTCACTGTGTAGCCCAAGCCGGCCTTAAACCTGCAGTAATTCTCTTGCTTCAGCCTTGCAAATGCAAGGATTACAGATGGGCACCATAATGCCCGGTATATTTTGACACTTTTATACTGATAATGTACTTACTGAAATCTACTACTGTACTATGGAGACCCTGGTGTTGGCAGAAGACCCTCGATAAGTGCTCTATGAACTATGTTGGACAAGCTTAACTTATGACAGGATGTAACAGATATAAGATTACCCTTTCTGTTCTATCAGCACAAAATAATCGAGTGTGATGTCTCTTCTGAACCACAATGTAGGTTATTCCAGGTTGATAATCTTTCTCCAAACTGATGCAGGCTTCTCGAATTGCTAGTAGTTCATAATATAATACCTAGAGAAGATGTAATGCAAAGCTTTAATTTAGTGAGCTGTTTTCTTCTACGTAATTACTTAAGATAATGATTTAGTTTTAGGATTTCTTAATCTCATCACTTTATATTTAAATGTACTTCTCTGTTCCATTTAAACTATTAGTAAGAGCAATCAACATTCACACATTTATAGTGGAAATAATTTATTTTTGTGGCATTGGGGCTTAAACCCAGGGACTTTGCATGGAGCCACCCCCGCCTTTTGTTTTGAGACAAGGTTTTGCTAAATAGTTCAGACTGGCTTTGAACTCACTATGTAGCCAAGGCAGGCCTCAAACTCATGGTGATCCTCCTGCTTCTACCTCCCAGGTGCTGGGAGATTACAGGTGTGTACCACCACTCCTGGCCCCCAGTCCTTTTTGTAATTTATTTTGAGACAGTTTTGCTAAGCTGCCCAGGTTGGGCTTGTAGTACAATCTTCCTGCCTCTTCTTCCCAGTGTTGAATTACACGTGTGTGCCACTACTCCCAGCCTCTAGCAAAAATTTTAAAAGGGAAAACTTACACAGGCATCAAATTTTGACTTTAAGAACTCTCAAGGCTTTCAACTTGAAATGAACAAAGTTTCTGATTTAACCATTGTCTGAGGAGATCTCAGGCAACCAACCTGTCTAAACTGTCCCTCTGAAACACCATCCCGATAAAAGATGATACGAGTAGGTTTGAACCGAGTTGACTTATAAAATTGAATGAGAAGTTCTCGGACCATGGAGGCCAAGTCCTGTATGATCTCTTGTCGGGGTCTCTGAACTCTTACTGTGGCACAATATCTGCTTGGGTGAGCATCCATACTACCTACAACCTAGGTCAGAAAAATAAAATAGAAATTAAGATAATCACAACTATATGGATTTCATTTACATTTATATTTTATTGTAACCTACTTATCACCATTTACTTCAAGAATAATAAAAAATAGATAATCCCCAAGGAAGAAAAGAATAAATGACCTGGTATAGTAACAACACCTATTTTCTTAGAAGTAGGCTGCAGTTTGCATTTAATAATTAGATTTTATTTTTTGGTACCAGGGATTGAACTCTGGTCCTTGTGCTTGCGAGGCAGGTGCTAGAACCACTAAGCTAAATCCCCAGTCCCAATTAGATTTTAATTGTTATTGGTAGACCTAAAGATTAGTCCTAGAAAAAAAAAATCCAAAGACAAGCATAAAAAGCATTAAAAAAAGGAAATAAGTCAGAAAATGCACTGATTCAAACTACTGATTTCCTTTCATATTTCTTTCACTTTAGCAATCCTTAAGAATTCATCATAATTTTAGAACTGTTGTTTCATACATTTTAAACCCAGGCTTTTCCCTTTTATTGCAAAGGCCTTTACTCAACATCCTGACTCTATATTCAGTCTTACTGTGTGATGATTGTGTTCTCTATTTGGTCTTCAGAGAAGTTAATCTTAGTTTTCAAATTGGCTATTTTAATTTTCTGTTTTTGTGTCTTGTTTAATATTATTATATGTTTGACATAAAGGAAACCTCAAAGCATGAACTTAAAACATTCTGGTCACTGCCCTTAGCTTGTCACTTTGCCTTTATATTCTTTTTCTTCCATGATAGTCTATATCAAAGTCATGCTTTAAACTAGAACTTCAACCATTTTATTCCCTTGAATAGCTCACTACAAAAGAATAAATTCATATAAAGTTACTATCCCCACACTCTTCTTTTTTTTCTTTTTTGAGACAGGGTCTCACTATGTAGTTGAGACTGACCTGGAACTCACTATGTAGCCCAGGGTGGTCTCGAACTTACAGCGATCCTCCTGCCTCAGCCTCCTGAGTGCTGGCATTACAGGTGTGCGCCACCATGCCTGGCCCCCACAGTCTTCTATACTACATCCCAATTCCCTGAATGTCTCAACATTTCTAAAACATCACAGGTTCTTGCAATCTGTATTTTAAATTATCTTGCTATGTTAGTTCCTATCAAACTATGTGACATTTAATACTTACAATTGTTTCTCACACCAGTCTCTTAAATTCTTGAGAATAGAAGTCATAGGATAAAGAATCAATTGATAAATTATAAAGTGGATATTTGGTATAAACAGATTTAACAGAAAATAAAAATGACTATTGTAGGTCCTACTACTGTAGAATATACCTAAAACTTAGAAAATCCAAGGCAATTTCTTTTGATTCAAACCAGTGATTTGAATTTAACATTTTCATCTTTTCTAGGAACATTTTTATGAATATCAGAATATCAGACAGCTCAGTGGTGCTGCCACCTGCCTTGTAAGCACAAGGTCCGGAGTTCGATCTCCAGTACCAAAAAAAACACCAAAAAACAAAAACCAAAAAACCTTAAAGCTATCTCCAGAACACTTCTATGTCTAAAATTTCTATTTTATTGAAAATAAAATAATGCTGGGTATGGTGGTGCACGCCTGAAATCCCAGCACTTGGGAGGCTGAGGCAGGAGGTTCGCTCTGAGTTCAAGACCATCCTGGGCTACACAGTGAGTTGAGTTCCAGGTCAGTCTCAACTACATAGTGAGACCCTGTCCCCAAAAACCAAACCAAACCAAACCAAACCAAACCAAACCAAAACAAAACAAATAAAAAACAAAAAAACAAAAAACAAAAGAAAAGAAAAGTCATGGACAAGATTAAAAATACAAATTGACACATTTATTAGTAGTTAAAAACAAAATTTCTTCAGTAATAAAAATAGCTTTAAAAAAATAGTTTTGGCTTGGCATGGTGGCCCATAACTGTAATCCCAGCACTCAGGGAGGCTGAGGCAGAAGGACTAAGCTCAGCATAGGCAGTTTAATGACCCAACAAGACCCTGTTTAAAAAAAAAAAGGATTAGGGATGTAGCTCTTTCCCAGTTTCTAGTGATATTAAAAAACAAAAAAGCAGCAGCTCTGGAATCCTTAATATTATTACCATTTTCAAGGACAAATATGATTTATCAGAATTTAAAATTAAAAATGTAGGGCTAGGGATGTAGCTCAGTGGTTCCTCTACCTGCCTCGCAAGAGCAAGGTCCTGAGTTCGATCTCTGCTACCAAAGGGGGGAAAAAAATAAAAATATAGGTAAAGAGGATTCCAATAGATAGAAAAATATATACAAAGTTTTAGAATTTAATTTCTGAAGTTTATCATGTATGCCTAAAATGTGTTGATATTTTCAAAGTGGTTGCATTTTTTGTTTTTGCGGTACTGGGGAACAAACTCAGGATCTTGCGCTTGTGAGGCAGGTGCAGCACGACTGAGAAAAATCCCCAGCCCTGCATTTGTTAAAATCAAGTGATTTTCAATACAGTGAAACAATATTGGGCTTTCTGAAATTTAAAGGAAATACATTAATACTAACACAGAAGGTTTAAAATTGTAGAGGTGGGCAAAGATATAACAGGCAAGAGTTAAAAGTAGAAGTGGCATGGGCTGGGGATTTAGCTCAGTGGTTCTGCCGCCTGCCTCGCAAGCACAAGGACCGGAGTTCGATCCCCGGCACAAAAAATAAATAAATAAATAAGTAAATAAGTAGAAGTGGCAGTGTTACAATAAACAATAATGGTACAAACTATTGGGTGGGTTAAGGTGGAAGAGATTTTATATTACAAAATGTAATCTATTGATGTTATATGAGATATACATGTAATGTATCTGTAATAGACAATATTAAAATATAAAAATAAACTCTGTATAAAAAACATACAATCATAAATCACAGATCAAGCAGAAAACATGATCAGCCAGGGATTTAGCTCAGTGGCACTGCAGCCTGCCTTGCAAGCGCTAGGTCCTAAGTTCGATCCCTGGTACCAGAAACAAAACAAAACAACAACAAAAACAAAAATCGTACAATATAGACTTGAATAATTAATAAGCTTGATTTAATAGACATATATGGAATGTGAATCCTCAAAACCAGAATGATTATTCTTTCAAAATTCCTAGAGAACATTTATGAAAGTTGATTACTAAAACAATCATTAAAATTTTAAAAGTTGAAAAAAAATAAGAACCAAAATATGTTATGTAAAGGTACAATTTCCAATAATGAATATCATTATACTGTATACCTAAAATGTACCAATAAAATTAATTTTTTAAAAAGTTAAAACCAAAATGTCGATACTGGTCTAAAATAAAATTGCTTCATGATACTCACAGCAGCAATAGAAGGCTTCTTTCCATCACCAGCAGGAGGATGAGTGACATCTGCTCCCAAAAATATCACTGGTTGCTGGAACACAGAAGGTCTTAAACACATGTTAAAAAAGGTTAGATCATTCATTTATCTGTTTCACATGATTGCAACACAACTGTAAGTCACTGACTGCACAAAAGAAGTCCTCTATAGACAGCTTCCAGGCCTGTACTACTCTTAAATCAGTCAATAAAGCAAAAGCTGTCACAAGAGGTCTGTCCAATGTCTTTCTGAGAGCAACTTTTTAGTCTTAAGAGTGGGGCTACTGGTTGCAAAGGGCAGCTGATGGCTAGTGTTTCCTCTAAAAGGAATAAAATGGTAAAATTTGCTTTTATTCCTCCACTTTTTTATGTGTATGGTGCTGGGCATTGAACTCAGGACTTCCTGCGCGCTACTCAAGTGTTCTACACCTGAGCTACACCCACAGCCCCAATCTACCTGTTCTTAAAAATCTACTTATATTTTATGCCGATGCAATTTCCCACAGAGAAAAAAGATCATTAAGCTTTATATTGGAAGGGATTTTGGGAATCTACTATTTTACATCCCCTGGCTAAAAGTATAAACTTTAGTCATATATATTTCTTAGTTCTTGTTGATAAAATTCTAAATCCATCTTATTTATTAATTTCATGTCATATAAATACAGGGAACTAGAGGGTGGTATAAACTGAGTAAGAGCTTTTATGTCATATATATGTACCTCAATTCTTGTTTTAAGGCTTCTCTGTGGTATGTTCTAGTCAGGACATTTTTTTGTTGTTGTACTGGGGACTGAACCCAGGAAGTGCTGAGTATACCCTCAGCCCTCTTTCTCCTTCCAATACTAAGGATTGAACCCAGCACCTTGCTCTGAGTACATCCCTAGCCCTTGTTTTATTTTCTTACTTCTGGGTCAGGGTATTGCTAAATTGCTAGTTGCTCAGGTTGGGTTTGAACTCGTAATCCTCCTGCTTTAGTTTCCCAGAGTGCTGGGATTATAGGCACATGCTACCACACTGGCTATACCTACCTTTTTAAATTTTTTTTTTTTTTGCTGGGTGTGGCAGCACATGTCTATAATCCAGCACTCAGGAGGATGAGGCAGGAAAGTTGCCTTGAGTTCTCCTGCTTTGTGAGCCACCACACCTGGCTCTAACATAGGTCTTATTACTACTAGTTAATACAGACATAGGTACAAAAGTACAGTAATGACTATTTTTGTAAGTGAATAGCTTACCTTTGATGAGGTACAAGAATATTATTGATCCCTCCAAGTTTAACATTTATCTTTAGGCACAAGTTTGAGAGCGTTTGAGGAGATGTTTTTATTACATTCTTGACTTGAACACACTGGGTAGCCATACCCAAAAGTGTATCTCCTACACGTTTTACCTCTGCTAAAGAACAAATGCAAATACCTCTAGTCAGAAAAAAGAACTGAAAGTAAATTTACTTTCTAAAAATAAAGATCTTCTGTATGTCCCTTAAAACACATCACTATATTATAGGACACCGCAAATTATACCAGTACTAAAGTAATGCTATTGAAATTTAAAGTAAACGGCTTTGAAAATTCGCCTAAGTATTTAGTGATAATTTTTTCAACCTTCATCATCATAAAAATTACACAGTAACTGAAAAACCATAAAGGTAAAAATATATAGAATCCTTTGTTATAATTTTATTGTGCTCCTTTTTCCAGTAATTTTAAAATTTATTTGGCACTGGAGATTGAACCCAGGGCTTCACGCATACTAGGCAAGCTTTCTAGCACTGAGCTATGTTACTCTGAGAAAGGATCTGGTGAAGTTGCCCAGGATTCTATCAGTGCGCCCAGCTCATTTATGTTATTTTAATGCACTTATACCAAAGTCACGGATTACTATTACTTTCAATCCTGTTCGCTAGCCTTGATTTTAACAATGCAGAGACAGCTTTGCATGGTGGCCTACGCCTGTAATACCAGAACTCTGGAAGGCTGAAGAGGAGGATCACAAGTTCAAGCCCAGGTTGGGCAACTTAGTGACACCCTGTCTCAAGATAAAAAATTAAAAAAAGACTGAAGATGAAGTGTGAAGGCCTTGGATTCAATCCTCAATACTGAAAAAATAAATAAAAGCAGAGGCATTATGACGCAAATAATAAAAGGCTCCTATTTTCTTCTTTCATAAAGGAAATCTAAGTCTCCTTCCTATAAAGAACATAACTTTACAGCATACATAACTTCTTTTATATAAAAACACATTGGAAAACACTATATATAGTTCTCAAACTCAATATATATACTGTTTTTATTTATAACAGCAGCAGTTATTTTGCTTTCAAGTGCCACAATACATCTAAATCAGTTATACACTGATGTATTTATATGTTGTTCCAAATTTTCAGTATTTCAAATAATCCTATGAATGCCAGGAATTATAATATTTACATTTATTTGCTAATTTAGTAGCATTAAATATTTTCTTTTATTGATCTGTAATTTGCTTTAACTACTGGACACAGTGGACATTTTTTCACGTATTATTTTGTTTTTCTTGAGAAACTTTGGTTTACATTCTTTTCTCATTATTTTGAGTGGAGTATTTTTCCTTTGTAGAAAAAGTCTGAAAATTTAATTTTTTCCCCCCGATACCAGGAATCAAACTCAGGACCCTGTGCTTGCAAGGCAGGTGGTAGCATCACTTAGTTTTTAAATCCCCAATCCCAAGATTCAGTTTTTATTCAGTCAACTTAATGATTTTCCTTTGTGATTTTTTCTATCATTTCTAAAATTAAATGATTAACTCCAGTAATTTGAAAGTTAGATTTTCTTCATGTTTTTTCATGATTGAATGATTGCCATTCAATTTATTGTCACAAAACTTTATAGTGGTACCTTGGTTCATGAACTCAATTCTTGTCACAAACTGAAATGGATGAGAAATGAATTAGACTTCCCCATAAGGCCAACATTGAACCTAACCACTGAACTTGATTTGGTTCTTGTCCAAATCAGTTTGCAACCAGAATCGTGGAAAGAATCAAGTTTGTGAACCGAGGAACCCACTGTATTTTGTTTATAATAATTTACAAGGGTTAGGCATTTCAGTTTCATAGGTGATGAAACAAAAGCTTAGCATTATTAAGAAATTCAGCTATATCATACTGACAGTACAATTGGTAATAATTCAAATATTTCACAGCACAGTCTAACTCTAGAGCCTTTTTTTTTTTAGAAGGTTTCACTATGTTGCCCAGCCTGGTCTCAAACTCATGAGTTCAAGTGATTCTCCTCCCTCAGTCTCCCAAATATCTAGGACTAGTGATGTTTGTCACCATGTCCATTTGAGCTACTACAATTTTTTTTCAGGGTCTCTTCAAGAACTATTTAGTTTACTGGTTTAAAATGAAGAAAACATTGCTTTAAATAATATAGTATAAAATATTTTTTGGTATTTGAAAGTTTTAGGATATATAATCCTAAAACAAGTATCAAACAATTGTGGAAAAATGGGAGTTTCCTGGTACATTTTTTGTGGTACTGGGGACTTAAGCCAGGCCTTATGAATGCTGGGCAAGGACTCTACCACTAATGTACCCTCCCACCCCAGCACTGAAAAATGCAGTTTTAAGATATCCTTACCATATACTGGTGTTTTCCCTGGCAGGATGACAATAATGAGCTGTAGCCCAGAATATGTATTCTTGAGATGCCGGAACATGGGCTCTACGCTATCTGCCCCCTGTGCATATTTGCAGAAACATGGCTGGCCCTGGATGGGCATCCCTGCATCCTTGGAAATCTTACGCAGCTGGTCTGTGAAACCCCTAGAAGGAGAAATCTTTAGATATAAAAGTTTTATCTAGGCCTCGGGATGGAGCTCAGTTCTAGAGGGCTTACTTAGCAATGCATGAGGCAATGGGTTTAATTCCTAGTTACTTCTAAAACAAAAAAGCAAATGATCCCAAACCTTTATATAATCATCAATACAAAATAGTAAAGGAAAGGAATGAAGGATGAAAGAAAAATCTGTGAGCCTTATAATATATAAGTAGTTATCAGATGACTGACACTAAGGACAATGTAGCCTACTAATCTGGAGTGGTCCTTCTTTACTCTTGGAGGAATACAATTCAAGACCACTGATTGCCTGAAACCATGGGTAGTAATGACCCCTAGAATTTCATGCCTTTTCAGCAAAACTAGCACAATTATTTTTTCTTTACAATTTCATGGCTAAAGAAAATCATTCTTACAGTAGACCTTAGCAAACTTCAATAATTTTTTCTTTCATTTAGAATATTTACCTTTTAAATTAAAGGAAGCACAATAAGGCTTCCCCTCTCTGGTATATCCAAATTGCCAACACAACTGGATGCATCATCAAGTGTAACAAGGATTATTTTAGAGAGTAATTTCCATAGTGTAGTGGTTACCACATTTACCTCACAAGCATTATTTGAACATAAGCACTATGATACCTTGACAGTTTTTTCTAAGACAGCTACTAAGATACTGCTGGGTGGGTATCACATAGGACATGGGCACTCTGGACAAGGGCATGATTTAAACCTCAGGCAGGGTTACTAGGGGGTGTGGAACAGTACAAATTTTATCACACTATTCAGAATGGCAGATGATTTAAAACTTAGAAGTTGAATTATTTCTGGAATTGCCCATCTAATATTTCTGGACTGTATTTGACCATTGGTTACTGAAACTATGGAAAGGAAAACATAAATAAGGGAGGAGGCACTAGTGTTTTCTGTAAACTAAAACATACAATCATATGACATTTTGTTGTTTATAAGTGGCATTAGAAATAGAGTATGCTGGTTGAGACTCAGCCATAGAGCCAGCATGGAGTTTCAATCCCATTGTGTTACTTTCTAGCTACGAAATTTTATTTTTCGATTTTCTTGAGATAGGGTAGCTCAGGCTGGCTCTGAATTCTGATCCTCAGCCTCCAGAGTCCTGAGTCCAGTATGTGTCACCATATCTGAAATTTTAGGCAAGTATCTTCCCTCATTTAGAAAATGATTGCTACAGGGTTGGTGTGAGGACTAACCAGTATTTGAAAAGCATTTTTAGCATATTGCCAGAGACCATGGTAAGAGCTTAACACATTTTAGTTATATATATTTTCTAATTTGATCCTAGCAAGATTCACATGAGACAGGCAGGTCAGGTATTATTTTCATTCCATAAATCAGAAAAGTTTCAGGGACACACTAAATGGTTAGATACATGGAAGAACCATACTCTGTTCTACCTACTCAAACCTACTTTAGAATTCCTACAGTATTACCTATCTGGGACTGTGATAACTGCAAAGATTATTCTCCGAAAAGAGATAAAAAATTTGAAAACAAAATTTAGAAATAAGGAGTGTATCATTTTAATGTATTTTTACTTGCAGTAATAAAAACTCATTTTGTATTTAAAGAATATTCTGTATTTTGTATAAATGAGTAATGTTGGGGGGTTGAACAATCATTTCATTTACTTCTTTGTTTGTTTGTTTTGGTACTGGTGATTGAACTCCAGTCCTTGTGTTTGCAAGGCAGGCCACCGAACCGCTGAGCTAAATCCCCAGCCCCATTTCATTTACTTCTGAAGCAAATAAGGTCCTAAAAGTCAAGGAACTGAGTGATCACTGCTCAAAATTGATTTCTTCAAGACAGGGACAAATTTGTAAACATTCCCTTTTCTTTTTTTTTACTAGTGCTTAGTTCAAGAAGTATGAAGTTGAATATCTTCAGTCAGCCTGAATAAAAGCCACAGGCCTAATGATACTGAGCTATCTATTCACACCATAAATAATATAAAATGAAAGAGTAACTCTAAGCTTAAAAAAGAATTAGAAGTGTTTTCCTTGGCTTTTCAAGGTCAAATAAGGTAACCATACATACCATTAAACCATCCTTATGACCTTTTATTTCAAAGCAGGGGGATAAAAACTTTTGAAGAAAAAATAATAAAGTGATCACTAAGACAATCATTTATATTTTTAATATTTTTGGTAGTAGGGATCAAACCCAGGGTTGCTCTACCATTGAGCTACATCCTCAGCCCTTTTGATTTTTTATTTGGAGACAGTTTTGGTAAATTGCCCAGATAGGACTTGAACTTGTGGTCCTCCTGTCTCAGCCTCCCTTAATGTTGTGCCACCATACCTGGCTAAGACATTCATTTAGAGATTTGATACTAATTTAAAAAAAAAAACTTAATAGAGTTAAACAGAAAAAAATATTTTTCACATGAAAGTAGCAAGGTAAATTCTGAATGGACTTGAGGTAAACTTATCTCCATATTATATAATAGTTTTCCCTTATGCATATATTTGTATAAGCTATTAATAAAGACATAAATAAGAAAATTTCTTAAGAAAATTAGCTAGAGAGGTAATATCATTATTATTTTGTTTCTTTGAGATAGAGTCTTGCTATGTAGTTCAGGCTGGTCTTGAACTCACAATTCTCCTGCTTTAGCATGAGTGCTGGGATTACAGGTATGCGGCCTCATACCTGGCTTAGTACCACTATATTTTGTGCATAAAATGACACGCACAAATAGAATATTGAGAGACTAATAAAGGGAGGAGTCATTCTCAATGAAGAGTTACAGGAGTGGAAATAGAGAAACAGTCCAGAGAAATAGAAGAAATATAGTGCTTTAATTTCTTTACCCAGAATATATGAAAATGGACTCCAGGGAAGTAAGAGACAAGTGAAAGATATTGAATGTCACTGATTTTGAGTGTCATCATTTGTCAGAGATGCCTAAAGTAAAGAGAGTCACAAACAGAGCTGGTGTTCTTTCACAACAGCACAACTCTACAAACAAGTGTGATAGCAAAAGCCCTTGAGGTTGTGTGGGAGTGTCAATGGAGAGGAAACAGATCAAGAAGAGGAAAAGAAGCCACCTCCCCGCCACCCACACACACAAGATAAAAAGGGACCAGAATCCAAGACAGGAAAAAGCATCAAGAAGGTAGTCAATTGTATTTACTGCATGTGGCGCATATAATGAGAAAACTAATAGGTAAGATGAGACTGTTGACTATCATTTGAATTTTAAGTGTAAAGAGGCAGGAGATCTTCCAGGAATTAGTGTTGGCAGGGCTCTCAGCTTTCAAGGGAGGAGAGCAGAGAAAATCTGCAAGCCTGAGGGATTGGTAAAATGAAAATTGCAGCCAGGTGCAGAGGTGCACACCTGTTATCTCAGCTACTGCACACGCTGAAGCAAGATGATTGTCAAGGTGAGAATATTGCAAGTGTGTCTGTCTGTCACTCTCTGTTATTTTGAGACAAATCTCACTATATAGTCCAGGCTGGCACTGAAATCGCAATCTTCCTGTCTCAGCCTCCTGAGCTCTGGTATTACATGTATGTGCCAACATACCTGGCTCAAGACCCTACATCTTTAAAAAACAAACAAAAAAACTTCCCAAAACAAAACTGAAACTGCAGATTTTATTCTTTTTTGGGGGAAGGTGGTTGGTAGGCAGAGTCTTGCTGTGTTGCCTAGCCTGGTCTCCAACTCCTGGGGTCAAGAGATCATCTTGCCTCAGCTTCCCAAGTAGTTGGGACAAGAGGTACCTGATAAAAACTGCAGATTTTTTTTTTTGTGTGTGTGTGTAGCACTGGGGGTTGAATCCAAGTCCTTTGTAATGAGCTACAACCCTGGCCCTTTTCATTTTATAGAGTTTTGCTAAATTGCCCAGCTAGCCTTGAATTTATATCCTACTCCAGCCTCCCAGAGTGCTGGACTACAGGCATGAATCATCATGCCTAAATAAAAACTGAAGATTAAAAAAAATTTGTCTGAACAGAAGCTTGTTGAGCATTTATAAGTTAATAAATAAATAAGCACTTATAAAGAAAAAATCTGAGGAAGAGGGGAACATGGTAGAGATGAAGGCCATATTTAGTAAAGTAAGGAAGCAAAAATGAGTTTAATCATTCAAGAGCCTTAACAAAAAATAGGGAACTCTGTGGTAGGTAGGTACTATTATCTCTATTTTACCAAGGTAAAAATCTACAGTAATGAGATTAAATAAATTACCTATGGTAAAAAAGCCCAGAAGTGGCAAAGATTGGAATTAAACCTACCTATTTGCCATCAAAAGACCATGCTGCTAGCTGGGTGTGAGGGTGTGTGCCTGTAGTTCCAGTATTCTGGAGGCTAAGGCAGGAGGATTGCTGCAAAGTTCGAGGCCAGCCTGGGCTACATAATGAGTCCAAAGCTGGCCTGAACTACATAATGAGACCTTATCTCACAACAACAACAAGAACAACAATAGCAACAACAACAACAGATAATGCTGCTGCTGTTACACCACATAAGCTGCTCAACTGGGATAGCTAGAAGCATGCATTGTTGACTTTTCTAATGAATTCAGAAATTTTCATCAAACTATCAAGATGAAAAAAAATTTTTTTTTCTGGTACCAGGGATCAAACTCAGGACCTTGCATTTTTAAGGAAGACATAGTGCCAATGAGCTAAATCCCCAGCCTAAGATGAAAACAAAAAAGTTTTTTTCCTTTTTTATTGAGTTTATTGGTACTTTTTAAGTATACAGTATAGTTACATTCATCATTGGGATCTTGTCCAAGATGAAGAATTTTTAAAGTTCAGTGGTTAAACATATTCCATGTTGAGGCAATGTTTATGGAACATGAGATGAATAACTTAAAACCTAAGTACAGTCTGTAATCCCACACTTGGGAGGCTGAGGCAAAAGAACTATGAGTTTGAGGCCAGGCTGGCCTACACAGTGAGTTCAAGGCCAGCCTGAACTAAATAGCGAGACCCTGTCTCAAAATGAACAAACAAACACACAAACAAAAAACAACAAAAACAAAACAACCCCCCTAAACCAAAAAACAAACAAAACAAAAAACTGAAAAACAACCCCCCCAATCTCTAAGCACAAAACAGTCTCCAAACCAAAGTAACGACATGACTTACTTTAATATTTCTTCTCTGCACTGCCTCTGTGTGGCAAAACAAGCTATGGCCCACATTTTGATTTCAACTCCTGTGTGGAACTGTTTTCCACGCATGTCCCATACGCCATGGCTTGGTGTTGCTACTGTCCGATTCTATGGAAGGAGAAAGAGAACATGACAAAGAAACAACAAAAACAATATATTTCAATGAGCTGAAAATAAGCATTTCGAGTTGCTGAACTGGTATACTGATGATAGTCTACACAGAATTGGCTGTTTAAACCAGTATCATTTATACTTTTTTTTTCCTGTTTTGGGACTTTTTTTGAGACATGGTCTCGCATGGTAGTTCAGGCTGGCCTTGAACTCACTAGGTAACCCAAGCTGCCCTTGAATTCAGTGAACCTCTTCCCTCTGCCTTTCCAAGTGCTGAGATTACAGGCGTGGGCCACCATGCTTGGCTACACTTTTTTGTTTGTTTATTTGTTTTTTGGTACTGGCGATCAAATTCAGGCCCTTGTGCTTGTGAGGCAGGCATGGAACCACTGAGCTAAATCCCCGGCTTGGCTACACTTTTAACATAAAAAAATTCTGAACTCAAGCAAAGGCACTCATCTTGAAATAGAAAACTACATTATTGGAGCAAAAACCACTTTCTAAATTCCAGACTTAGCTAGGATTTCCTTTTATCTAGTCTCTCAAACTACATGTATATGATTAAAACATTATCAAGAGGCTTTACCCGTCCTCCATACTGGAGCATAGGTGCTGGAAGAACACGTCCGGTTACATGGGCCATTTCATCCCGAACTTTAAATTGAAACTCCTGAACAAATGGATCTGTTTCATAATTTGCACTTCTTACCTAATAACAAGAAAGTTTGCAGTTACTTTCAAAATTCCCCTAGATCCACTACTTTACTCAGCAGAACTGTTTTTCCTTTACTATAGAAACTATGTTTTGCAATAGGTCTAATTAATGGCACCCTAACTATAGAGGCAAAAATCTTTTTTTTGTCCTTTGTTTTTTGAGACAGGGTCTCACTACATAGTTCAGACTGCTCTGGAACTCACTGTGTAGCCCAGGCTAGTCTCGAACTCACAGCAATCCTCCTGTAGAGGCAAAAATCTTAACCTGGGGATCATGGGTCATGAATGGACTGCAGGAAGTCTAAGAACACTTTCGTCATTTATAAAAAATGTAAATGCACATATTAGGGTGAGTGAAAGTTTGAAAGGAAACATCAAAAATCCTAATGCTTGCCTTGCCTTATCTTTTCTTTTTTTCCTTCCCTCCACCCCCTTCTGCTGCGAGGGCTCAAACTCACGGCCCTGAGCATACTAGGCAGTGTTCTACTATTGAGCTATAGCTCCAGTTCCTAACACCTTTTCCACAACTATTTGCTTTACAGTTTTCACACATTTACTTCATTATTTTCAGATCAGCAGTACCACATTACCATATAAAATTTATCTGAGATACACTGGAAACAGACAAGAAAGCCACTATGAGTTGAGATATAGTTTACAAATTTTATACACATAATGAAAGAATTTAATGTTATTCAATGTTGTATCTCACATTCATGCTTACAGCTCAAGAGCTGTTTTTCAAAATATTTATTTGTCCTCAAGGTGAGGGTCAAACAAAAGTAGAAAAGAAGCAGCCAGTGTTCAAATCTGAATAAAAATCCATTAAAAAACATAAAATAGACAGAACCTCTCCCCAGTAAACAGGAAAAGTTATATTCTAATATATGTTTTTCTTCAAGCCTAATTGCCATACATTCCTGTAGTGTATAGTATAGTTCCATAGTAAAGATATGAAGAATAACAATTACTATTTAAGAAGACTTGCTATGCTATATGCTTGGTGCTAAGTGCTTAGTAATTAATTTTCTCAATTATCTTATGGCCATAAAGGTAGATTTTTTTTGTACCGATGATCAAACTTGGGCTCTTGTGCTTTTGAGGCAGGTGGTAGAATCACTGAGCCAAATCCTTGGCCCAAGGTAGATCTTTATAATCTTTTTAACAGAGTTTGATAAAACTAAAGCTTAGTAAAGTTAAATGACTTAGTAAAGTCAAATTACTAGATGTTACAACTATAATATGATAATATTAACAGTAAGTGGAGGAGCAAAACTTCAAACTCGAGTATTAAGACTCCAGTTTGTTCTTTTGACAACTATAGAGTGTTGTCGATCTGAATAGTTAAGCTATAATAAGTGAATTAAAACTGCTAATTATTGAGATTTTATAGATACAGGTGTCAGTGTCTCTTAAAGGTTTTGGTAAAGTTTTTAAACATTACTATGGCAGAATTAGAAAAAAGTCCAGGATGAGAACCTAATTAAAAATGTAGTAACCTTCATTCATTCTTTACAAAATTATAAGGAAAAAAATGGTCTTTTTTTTGGGGGGGTAACTCACTTATAAAACGGAAGAGCCAGTTCTGTAATCTTTTTCCAATAATTTCTAAAACTGCTTCTGAAAGTGAAAGTGTTACTAAGTTGTTTTGGGGAATACTCACTATTTCCATAGTTTTTCTCTGCTTAGGCAGTGTATTATTCAAGAGAGTAAGATAAGATCCAAGTTCTCTTTTATTTTTAATCTTTCCTATTTATTTTTTATTAAAAAATAAAAGAAAGAAAAGGGGGATGGGGATATAGCCCCAGTGATAGAGCACTTGACTAGCCTGCATGCATGAGGTCCTTGGTTCAATCCCCAATACTGTACTAGGGGGAAAAAAAAAAAAAAAAAGATAACATTGTGGAATGGGACCATCACTTATATCAAGTAGCACTGGTAACTCCCAGAGTGAGACATGTTGTCCTCTATTTATTCAGACTGTATAGTTGCCAATCTGATACTGAAAGCTAAACAGTCTAAGACAGAGTATTATGACTTTCAGTACATCTAGTCATAATACCTTAACTTTTTCTCTCTTCCCACCTCTTGTTTAGCTAGAGGTTCCAGTTTACCAACATTTATTTTATTTTTGGGTACTGGGGATTGAACTCAGGTCCTCACACTTGCGAGGCAGGCGGCGACACCACTGAGCTAAATCCCTGGCTACCAACATTTATTTTTAACAATATTTATTTCAAACACTTATTTTTTGGGGGTTGGGGATTTAGCTCAGCGGTTCTGCCACCTGCCTTGCAAGCACAAGGACCCGAGTTCGATCCCCAGTACCCCCCCAAATTTATTTTTTTAACAGAAGCTGTTTCCCTGGACCTAATTAAAGAGTCTAGAGTTAGGTCAGAAAGACCTAACCTTTGACATATAATAGTCACCCCCCAACATCCTCAAAAAAAGAAAAAAATCACACAAAACAAAATACAAAAAAACCCACCTCTAGATTACATTCCTTTTCAATTCTATTAATAAGGAATGGACTGGTAAGAATATTTTCCTTCCTTCCTTCCTCTTTCTTGTAGCTCACTCTAATAAGTCCTTTTGTTCTGTTTTGTTTTTGGTGGTACTGAGGTGTTTTATCACTAGCCTTTTAAATTTTTATTATTATTATTATTTATTTTGACTTAGGGACTCACAAAATTGCCCAGATTGGCTTCAAACTTTGGATTCTCCTGTCTCAGCCTCCTCAGTAGCTGTGATTACAGGCATAAGCCATAGTGCTTGGCTCCTAATAAGTTTTATATTCCCATTTCTAAGATTAAGCACTAACCAATCTGCTGATTTCTTCTTGTCTATCTGGTGCAGATCTTGCTGTTGCCTTGATCATAGTAGAAGTCTGATTGTCTGTTAGCTTTTTGATACATCGTTGCCCTGCCACAATGTTACAGACCTAAAAAAATAGAAAAAAATTTAAATATGTATCTCTGTATATTTTTTATTAGTTCTCAATGCCAATACATGTGAAATAAAAAAAAAAAAAAACCTACTTCATTAAACAGCTTTTTTTTTGTTGTTTTTGTTTTTTTGGTACCAGGGATTGCATTGGAGCCCTTGCATTTGCAAAGCAGGCAGTGGAACCACTGAGCTTAATCCCTGGCCCTAAACAGCTTCTTTTTAACATCATCTTAAGTAAAAAGCCAGTGAACAAAACTAGAGTATGATTATGATTAGGCTAACAAAAATGGGATAAAAAGACTGAAAGATATAAAAATGTGAACAATGATTATGGTATATACAATAGTGGTTATATATAGTGGTAGGATTATGGATTAATCTTTTCCATGTTATTTCTTCTAATTAAAATGTAGACTAAATTAAAATCTAAAAACAATTCAAATACCAAAATAAATGTGGGAGTATGGGGTAAGTTACAGACCATGAAAGACCTACAAAGAATGTAGAATAGGAAGATATTCATAAATAGCATAAAGACATTACTTCTAGTGGTAGGTAGGTATGTTTCTGCTCCTGCCCCACTTGTAGACAGGGAAGATGTGGGTACTTCAGCTGAAGAGTATACTTTTCTCTGAAATACTGTGCTACTGTTCTCTCCACTGTTTGGCCATTTTCTAACTGTAAAGGAAAGCTGGAAAGAAAAAAAAAGTAGACATAAACAACTCTTATCCCACTATGAACTAGCATAACTCCCAAACCACTATACCAAGAGCAAGGTACTTCACATCACCACTGCTCTGGCAAACACCAGCTTTTCTTACGTTTGATGGCTGGCAGGCCTTCTTGTTACATTACAAACACGGTACTTTCGTCTCATTGTTCCACAATGAGTCACTTCAACTTTTAGACCTGTTCCCAACAAGAAAATGGAGGTTACAGAACAGTTACATCTAAAATATCTATACTTATAAAGCCTGTTAACTACTTTAAAAACTCAATTCTGAGCACACAGAAAATCTGTGACATGGGCAACATGACATTAACAAATTTTATATATTAACATTGCTGATAATGGCTATAATTATAGTAGACCTAATGTCAAACATTTTCCTTATTCTGCCAAGCTCCACATAATAAAAAACAATCAAAATTAGTAAAGGGACAAAGCTCTTCATTAATAAAAACCCTATTAACAATAAATGCAGGTATTTTTGCTATGAGAGGGAAGAAGGAATGAATTCTCAAGACAGTTTATAAACTTTAATGTATGTGATATTCAGATAGCCCCCAGTCATCACATACTAATTGAAAAATTAGAATTTCAAAGGAAGGAAACCTTTCAAAGATTAATAAAGCAGAAAGAAAAACATATCAGGATATCAGGTCCTTTTAATTTAGGCAAAGCAATAGCTTTATTGAAGCATAATATAGTGACACAGCTCTTTTACAATAAGGACTGTTAGCCAGGAATGGTGGCTCACGCCTGTAATCCCAACACTAGGGAGGCTGAGGCAGGAGGATCGCTGTGAGTTCGAGACCAGCCTGGGCTACATAGTGAGTTCCAGGTCAGACTCAACTACATAGTGAGACCCTGTCTCAAAAAACCAAAAACCAAAACAATACAGTAAGGACTATTACAAATAAAAAGTAACCAAAATAATTCCTAAAGCAAGTTACCCTCTAGCCCCTTTGACAATCTGATGAAAGTAATACCCTCTTGAAAACCATGCACACACATAATTTAGCACATACTTTTATTTTCCCTGTAGTCTATATGGGTCTTAGGGGTTCAAGGATCTCAGGCAACCTCTAGAAAGTCAAGAAATAGGCTTTACATATGCTGAATTTGGCGGTGGGGAAGGGGGGTAAATTTTCTTAAGTAGTGCTGCCAGAACTTTCTGAGATGACAGAATGCCTTTACATCCGAGCTAATATGATAATCATTATAATGTTTTACTGAGCACATGAAATGTGGTTAATGTGCCTGAGAAACTAACATTTCAGTTTTATTTAATTTTAATTAATTTAAAAAATTATACCTGGCTAGTGGCTACCCTACTGGTCAGTCTTGGAGCTACCTGGAGAAGAATTAAAAAACAGACATAGGGTGACTATTGGTCACAGATAACCAACTCATTTATTTATAAAGTTTAGCTTGGATTTCAGAAGGTAGAAACCTATAATGGTATAGATAGAGGACAAGTTTTAGGTCCTAGACAAAATTTATGGTTATTACTCTTTGTATTTTTGATTCCTGCAGTGCAGTAGTTGTCAACTGGGGGCAGTTTTACTGCCCGGGGGACATCTGTCTGAAGAAAAACAAGTTTTTGGCTGTATTAGGGATTGAATTCGGGCTATGTACAAGAAGTACTCTACCACTGAGTCATATCCCCAGACCTCAAGAAGACATTTCTTGATTGTTAGAACTTGCAGGATGCCTATCGGCGACTAGTGGGTACAGGACAAAGATATTCCTAAATATCCAGAATACACAGAACAGCACTACCTCTATCCCATCAAAGAATTATCTAGGCCACAATGTCAACGAGTCAAGGTTGAGAAGCCCTACTACAGTATAACTTATTTCTTATCTAATAACTAACTGTATAGTACTAAACATAAAGTTCATTCACAATAAATAATATTTTCTTCTAATATGTATTAGTGCTCCTAATTGAATCAGTGAGAACTAGTTTTTTTGTTTGATTTTTTTTTTGCAGTACCGGAGATCAAACTCAGAACCTTGCGCTTGCAAGGCAGGTGTGGTGCCACTGAGTTTCCCCAGCCAGTAAGAACGAGTTTTTACCTTTATAAAACTGTAATTTCAGATCAGTTAGAGCATTTACTATGCCTTTGTATTATAAAGGAAAGGAGAAAATACAAAGGAAAGCCTTATAAGGAAATACTGTACCAATAACATAAAGTAAAGCAAGATATAAAAATATCATGTTTTGGGGAAAAACAACAGAAAAGATTAAAACAAATTTCTGTTACTTGTAGCACTTGTTTTCAAGTTTTACCACTGTATCAAAAAATACTGATAAATTTCTACATATCTACAAAATAAGCTTTTTTTTTTTGGTACCAGGGATCAAACTCGGGTCATTGCGCTTGCAAGGCAGGGAGCAGAACCACTAAGCTAAATTCCTGGCCCTACAAAATAAGCTTTTACCAAAAGTAAATTGCTATTTTTTATATTTTATGGTACTTTTGCCACATATTTTCCCCAATATTTCTGCTACCATAAATTCTAGATTTAAAAAAAAAAAAACTAACCCAAAGTTATTATCAAATATTTAGGAAGAGATTCAACTGGAGTAAAGTGAATATACTAAAAATATATTCATTGTAACAGTTTGTATCAATATTTAACAGTTATGAAGTTCCCCATGCCAGCTAAAATATTAAACCCAAACAGCACAGAATACAAAACTGATTCTTTTGAATTACTGTGGTAGAAACACATGATATACTTTAAAGATTTTTTTTTTTCTAAGTCTTTTTGACTCTCTGAATGGAGAAATAAAAATCACCTGCTTGTCAGTTAGATCCAACTCAAAATCTAAGATCACAGGTACTTAAGCATTAGATCCCAAAATCCAGAGAGCTAGCAAAAAAGTAAAAATTTTAAAAATGGACTAGAGTTCTCTGTCCAGGTGCCCCACCCCAACCCCTCCATCCAACCAAAAGTTTTTTGCCTTTAATAAATATTTAACCTATAAACTTGGCTTTACCTTCACTATAACATCAACTTTATAATGCTTTCTAGTCATTTTTTCAGTCATTTCTTTGGGCCCCTGAGCAGTTGAAGTTAAGACCGAGTCCATGCTCTCCGGGAAGCAGTTGGATCCTTGTTCTGTACATCTTGTATTTTCTGTGATAGAGTGGTGATATGAGTTGATTGCGTAGTTACCAAAAAATAATGTATGTGATTTCATGTTATCAGAGGTGGTAACTAAGCAGCAACTCCACTGGAAACCATAGCATTTAGATGATAAAATATATCACGGTAGGTGATGTACTAACTCCCTGATAATGCTAACAGCAGTTAATACAGATTATGAGAGGACAATGATATGACTACAGAACAGTTACATGTAATAGTTTCTTATTTGTGCACTTAAATAACTTGAGATAAATAAATGCTTATTTTTAAAGCAGGGAGGGTTTTTCCTTTCAATGTTTTGTTACAATGCCTCTTTTCTGGCTACTGCAGAAGGCAAAGGATGAACAGTTACTGGAGCAAGCAGAATGTGCTCAGCTACTCTAAGTGATTCTGGGACTGAGAGATGGTCAGTGAGCAAACTGAATCCTTTGTTCAAACAACAAGCTGAAAGATATCTGCAACAAATAGGTAAAATCTTAAAATAAAACAATAATTATTTCTGGCTATTTAAGAGCTAACAAACAGTATAATACTCATTCTGATTAGAGAATATCTAATTTCTCTGCATGTCTAAATAATAAACTAAATACAGTGCAGTTACATCTTAAATCAGAATTAAGTTCTAAAATCACCAAGAGAAGAATTGTATATAATCAAAATTGTACATAATTACAATATTTTTTTTTAAAAAATCCCTTAAATTGCTGATAAAGCATATATGTGTTTGGACAAAAAACCTGTATATTTACTGTATATTTAAGTATATTTAGAAATAAATATACATAGATAAGATACACATAAAATATACATTTTAGAATACTATTTAAATTATTTTTTTTTCTTCTTGGGAGAACAGAGAAATGAATTTAGGTGAGCTAAATGTGAATATGATGGGACACCACTGTACAAATTCTAGCTAAGTGCAATAGGTAAAATTAACTCTATGTTTATTAAATAGCTGCTATAATGGTAGAACAATATATGAAACAGGTTAGCCCCATATATACATTTTCAAAAGAATAAAATTAAAAAACTTTTTCTTTTTTTGGCACCAGGGATCAAATTTGGTCCCTTGTGCTTGTGAGGCAGGCAGCAGAACCACTGAGCCAAATCATCAGCCCCTTAAAAATATATCATTTCCAAAACATGAAAAAGTCAACATATTGCAATATATTCAAAGAATGATACTCCTGAAGTAACAGTACTTTTTTTTTTTTAATGGTACTTTTTTGGAATAAGCTTTCTACTTTTAACAGTAAGGTTTATCCCATGAGACACTCTTGTCCCTTCAGCTAGAAAGAGAGTATAAAGAAAAAATCTGCTACTTACCAATGCTAATTTTATTACTTGGCATATCCTTCATTTAAACATTACTTAAATTGAATCTAATGTAATACTTTATAATTGATCTATATTTCCACAAATATTAAATACATTTTAATTTAAAAAACATTTCAATAATAGTTATAGTCACACACTCTGTAGCCAAGCTGTTTTAAATGCTAATGAATTCACCTTTTATCTCTTTGGTGAATTTTACCCGATGAGAATCAGTCAGAGGTCTTGGTTGCTCATCAATATTATGAATGTCAAGAACTTCACACATGAACTGAATTACAGGTTGTGCTTTGTAGAAGGCAGTGGCAGAAACTAAGGGGGGAAAAATCACAAAATGGTACAAATTAGTATTTATAAAAAATTCAGAAGCTTCACTTCAGGTTCTATGATAGGTATCTACTGAGTTAAAATGATTCTTACTTATGTACATATGTGAATATATATTAATATATATATATATATATATATATTTTCCCAAATTAATCAGTTTCAATATGACCTCTGAGGCTAACAGAAAGGTCAATTCTACAGGCTTTACACTCTTTCATTACAGAAACCTGAATCATCCCACTCTTAACTACATAAAAAAGAGTATTCTACATGAGACACTACCTGTAGAGGAAAAGGATCAGATGAAAAAGTAGGTTATTACTTTTTAAATGTTTTCCTACATTGTATATTTTTGTGAGATTTTTCTTATAATGATCTGAAAAAAATAATGGTTATTACAGACAAGCTACAAGAAGCAGTATTAAAAGGTATTTGCCCAATGTTTTTTAGGCAATCAACCAGCAAAAACCTTGGGTTTTGGAACTAGAAGAACTTCATCCTAGGTTAGCAGACAACCATCACTCATCTCTTCAATACATACTGATGACAATTATGTGCTATAAGGTGCTGGGGACATAATGAAAAGTTAAACCAGGCAGACAATTAGCTACAAGCAATCCATGTCATTTTTCTACTCAAAAGATACGCCACTGTCTGCTGAGCTAGGTATAAAAATTTTACATGGTGCTCTTTTCTTAAGATGAAATGCCCTCCATAAAATGTCCATAACCTCTGGAAAAATATTTATCAAAACTTTAACAGCAGTTTTTGGGCCGGCACATGGCTCAGTAGCACTATGCCTGTCTCACAAATGCAAGGTCCTAAGTTTGATCCCTGGTACTAGAAAACAAACAAACAAAAAGAACTGCAGCTTTCACTGGACATTTGAGGGTTTCTGAGGGTGCTATGGGTATTTTCAAAAATTTTTTGTCTTTTTTTTTTAAAGGTTGCAAAGACAATACTTTCTCCCTGAAAAGTGGTATAGAGAGTAGGAAAACTGGTAATTGGCAAGCTGCCTCTTGCAGCTCTAGAGAAACAGGCAACTTCTATTCCAGAGAAGCCAGAGCTGTGGTGCTGCTCTTTGAGCAGCAGAGCCTCTCTCCACTACACTTCACTCAGCAAGGGTCAAATTTGTAGACTGCAGCTGCTGAGGCTCTTGGCAGATGCTCCTATGGTGTCACACTCAACTAGGAATGCCTGAACCTTTTTCACTACACCCTCCCTTTGAAATTTTCTGGTAGAATCACTGTATTAGTCTCCTCCAAGATGTGTATAAACTGCTCAATTATGCCTTCTACTCGCCGAGTCTGCAGAGAGCTTCACTTTGCAAATCCTTGGCTAGAAAACCTTGCTAGATTCCAGTAAATTCTTTATTCAACTCTTCCAGGTGGTCAGCTATCTTCTCCACAAGACTTCTCCAAATTTTCAACTTCTTTAGGTCAACCTCTTCCTCTGGATTGCTCTTTTCCCCAATTAACATGACTGGACAAGAATTTTATATTTCAATTGTCAGTCTTGGACAACTGGTTCAGTGTCATCCTGCTGAGGTAACAGGAAGCTCGTGCTTTTCATTGCTGTAGTGATGGTCATACCAAGCCCAGTGGCTGCCATTTCCTCAGTTAAGGTCACCTCTTTAGTCTGTTAAGGTGGTTAAAGCCATCTCCTCTGCCCTGGTCATGTCCTTTGTCAGGATCACGTGGGGATATGCTTTATTCTTCACCCATGGCCCATGAGTGCCCCTGGTAGATTGCTCATGTTCACTGGCTATACTCCGAACAGATGATGGATGAGAAAGAGGCAGACTGGGAACCTGTGCTCCACCACCAGGCCAGTGCTTGCTGACTGAATGCCCAGCGGAATTCTTCTTTTTTGTAGTGAATACATATTACATTTTTCTTTCTTTACAACAGAAATAATTCAGAAATGAAGTTTTATCATAAAGACACAAACAATATAGACACACAGTAAAGACCCTCTCCGATTAGCATCTTCCCCTCCAAGGATTTTTTTTTTGGTATGGGGAATGAACTTGGGTCCTTTTGCTTGCAAGGCAGGTGGTGGAACCACTGAGCTAAATCCCTGGCCCCCCTTCAAGGATTTCTAAAAGCAACCGTTGTTAGTAGTTAGATATGTCTACATCTCTTTTAATATACTTACACAAATAAAACTGAAGAAATAATTTTAGATGGGATCAGATGAGAAATACTGACTTACTTTATGATTATTTTAAAAATTAACAGTATGTTTTAGAGATCTTTTCATATCAGAACACTATTTTTAATGCTTACATATTATTCCACAGTATAGGTGAATGACACTGAACCATGCATTCTTTTCCCCTCATAATAAAAAAGAACACTACTACTAAAATATTAAAAACACTATTTTGGGGTGTTATTTCTTGTATAGCTCTATCTTAAAGAAGATCTGTATGTCCTACTATGGAATTATACCATTCTTTTTCATAGTTGTAGGATATCCCATTACATGAATGTGTTATATGTCCCTAATGATGGATAGCTACATTGGTTTGCTTTTTTACTATTACAAACAATATTCCATTGAGTGTCCTTAAATATACTTTGTGTACATGCGTGAGTATTCTGTGAGAAAGACTTAAGAGAAATCACTACTCATTTGTAATCTTCTCTCCAAATAAACTTTAGAAATACTTTTAGTTTTTTAAAAAAAGGAGCTGCCTAGCATGGGTGAGATCCTAAGTTTGATCCCTAGCATGGCCAAAAATATATACATTACATCACAGTACTGAAAAATATGAAAATATTGTGCATACAGAAAAGGCTGGTGGGCCGGGGACTTAGCTCAGTGGTTTTGCCATCTGCCTTGTAAGTACAAGGGCCCAAGTTTGATCCCCGGTACTGCCCCCACAAAAAAATAAAGAAAGAAAAAAAGAAAAGAAAAGGCTGGTAGGATACATACCAAATTTAAATTATATGTTCATACTGTTTAAGTATATATTGATCTGGGTTAATTTTTTAAAACTAAATAAATAAATAAATAAATAAAAGATGTGGTGAATAATTTGCTTTTCCTTTAGCTGAACAGGTAAATTTCTTTACTAGAGTACTATAACACTAGCATTTATAACTAATGTTTTACACACCAGAGTTGTAATTACTAAGCTAACAAGTTGGAATTATTTCCCGTTTAATTCTCATCTACAATTTTTCTGTTAATCCCACCATAATCATTTCAGTATTTACCATCTTCTCTATAAGAATGTGGTCATTTGAGGTGAAAATTAAATTTGGCTATAAAAAGCTATTTAAAAAAAAAAGCTACTTAAAGGATGGTTGAAATCACAATAGTTCTTTTCTTTTCTTTTTTTGTGATACTATTGTTATGCAGTTCAGGCTGGCCTTGAACTCAAGGTGATCCTACCTCAGCCTCCTGAGTGCTGAGATTACAGGTGTGAGCCTCCATGCCTGGCCATGATACATTTTTTTGTACCAGGGATCAAACTCAGGACTTTGTGCTTGCGAGGCAGGGGGCAGCACCACTAAGCTAAATCCCCAGCCCAATACAGTTTTGAATTAGAATGAATTTTATCTCAGTGGTTCTGCTGCCTGCCTTTCAAACACAAGGTCCTGAGTTTGATCCCCAGTACAAACACAAAACAAAAAAACAAAGGTCTACTTTTAACTGGGCGTGATGATCCATGGCTGTAATCTCACCTACTTGGGAGGCTGAGGTAGGAGGATCACAAGTTCAAGGCCAGTGTGGGTAACTCAGCAAAAAAAAAAAAAAAAAAAAAAAAAAAAAAAAAAAAAAAAAGACTGGGAATATTGGTAGAGTACTTGCCAACAAGCACAAGGCTCTGAATGGAATATCCAGTATCATGAAAAACAAAACCAACATTAGCAGCAGGAACAGCTATTAACAACAACAAATGTTAACAGCCTTTGAAGATCTGCTTCTCTGCCCCTTGGCTGAATCCTTAACATTGTATTCCTTCTTCACAGATTAGCTGATTATCACTGAAAAAGTGTGTGTACATTTAACATTTTAAAACTTATTAAATCAAATATACTAAATATAAGCACACAATCATTTTTATAGATTGATGTCCCCCCAAAAGCATTTGATAAAATCAAGCATTGCAGCAAATATCCTTACTATACTGGAAACAGAAGGGAATTTTTTTTTTCTTTGGGGGGGTGTTGAGACAGGGTCTCCCTATGTACTTGAGACTGACCTGGAACTCACTACGTAGCCCTGGCTGGTCTCAAACTCACAGTGATCCTCCTGCCTCAGCCTCCCAAGTGCTGGGATTACAGGTGTGTGCCACCAGGCCAGGAGGGAATTTCTTTAATGTGATCAAAGTTATATACCAAAATCTATGACAAATTCAACTTTCTTTAATCAGTTCTAGTTAGCAAAGTAAAGCAAATGAAGAGAAATGAAAGGTAAAAGGGCTGGAAAGAAATAAAATAATTATATTTTGCAATACGACTATAGGGAAAAACAATAAAATCTGTAAGTTAGAGAATTATTAATAGTTCAGAAATGTCAGATTTAAGATCACCATATAAAAATAAACTCAATTACTAGCAGCCAATTTAAAATGTGATTTTAAAAAGATGCTACTCAATCACAACAGAATTTTAAAAGTACTTACAATGAATAAAGTCTAAACAAAATATGTAACACCTACAGAAATAATAGGTATCTTTGTATTGAAAAAAGATATTTGCATCTTTTATAGGTGGCTTAAATAAATGGAGACCTGTATGTACCTTATTTGTGTGGATTATCTGCAAACTGATCTATACATTCAAAGCATTTTCAGTTCAACAGGACTGAAATGTATCCAATAGGATATAGTCCCTCCACCCCCTGGAAATTAAGAGGCTGATATTGTAATTAACATAAAAGGACAATGAAACTAAAATAGTCAAGACAATTCCTAAGTTATGCCCTATCATTTATTAACTGTTATAATCCTATTCATATCAAGAGAA